AAGAAGTGGAGGGGCAGAGGTATATAACTCTTACCTCCTTTTACGATGTTTTAGATTCCCAGAGCGGACATTGCATGCTTGTGTAGGACTTGTGTAGCGGACATTGTCCATGGGACTACTGCTGGGGTTAGCACTGATGTTAGTGATGGGTTATTGTTAATCCAATGCCCTTTGCTCCATGTAAAGCACACCAGCCTTCCTGATTTGTCTTCTCCTTTCTCTTGTGCCCCTCGCATCCTGTTTATCTGTTTGCTCACAAGCAGCCCCAGGGTGACAGATAAGCTTCTGAACATCTCTGTAGGGATGAGAAGGGGACTTTTTCAGTGTTAAGCATATTCTGATGTGTCAGCTCAAGCGAGAGGATGTCCAGGTTGCCACTGAATTTACCCAAGACCATGCAGCCTGTCAGTACCTGAATTAGGTTTGTTTGCCTTTACCTTTTCATTTATGTATGAAATTCCCTGCTCATTAATGTGTCTGAACTATTCCAAATGAATACATATTCTGACTTTTTTTAATCTGTCCACTTTTTTTTTTTCCTTATTTATTCCCTATATCATGAGCCTAGGATAGTGCATTTGTATTATTACTGGTTTCTGTATAACCTTGCCTTAAAAATTATGTAGAAAGGTTCTTTTTTTTAGAAGAACAAAGGATGAGTGCATTTTAAAAGTGTGAGATCCTTGGTCCTTATGGATGAAGGGGCTCCATCTGGAATGGAGGAGTGAAACAAAGTAGTAGGAGAAAACCCAAAGGCAGCCTCCATTGAGAAATCTTTTGAGTGATGCGAGTTTGTGTCTTTCTACAGAATGCAGGCTGTTCCTGCCATTTTTTATTTCTTCAGTTTGCTCTTAGAGCATTTACATACATTATTATGCAATAGTTAGATTAAAAGAACAGTCTGTGCTCATAAATACTCATTATAGAGTTACAGTAACAGCTGAAAGGAATAAGAACAAGGATCCTATTCTAGATGCTGTATGTGTGATAGCCCTGACCCTGCAGTTATTTTGGTGTGGGAACTTTAAATCACAGGTAGTTCTACTTACTAAGTTGGAGGGAGTTTTTGCATTCTGCAATACCTTCCTGAAATGGGTTTAAAGATAAAAAGCCAATCCTTGCAACTCATTAGCATTTGATCAGATGAAATTATTTTGTTTGAAATTCTTTCTTTGAAAAGACAGTGATCAGAGAGCATTATTTTACTATTGTAGCTTTTGTTTCTTCATTAAAAAAAAAAGCATAATAAAGGTACATATAAAATAAATAAAATCCTTACAAGTTAATACATATGTCAGCAACTTGTTTCAAGTGTATTATTATGCAAACTATTTCTAGAATTTCTGTTCTGGGTAGAAACCAGTAATCTCCTGTATACATTTAGGCCTTTAACTTTCACATCTGTGACCTGTTTCTTTGAGTTTGCTCTAGTGTCTGGGATTAAAATGGGCAGAACTAAAATTACAGTTGAATTAATTGTCAGCATACTGTGAAAAGTAATATGCCACACTCATCTCTCAGGTGGAAGACCGCTTTGTGTTGGTATAGCTGTCTGAGAAGACAGTAGGCATCATCGTTCATCTCTGTTATTAAGAAAGCTGACAGTTAAAAGATCCCACGAAACTCTTTAATGTATGACTGCCCCTTAGAGGAAATTTGATGTGTAGTCCAGTTGCAGTGATTGTAATGTGCTCATTTTAGCTAATGCTGTTGCAAATGAAGCTTGTTTTTTGTGATTTGTTGACAAGTCAAATCTTTAACCTCACATACTAGACAAACTGTGACATGTGAAAGCATGGAATTGCATTAAAAACAAAGGTTGGCAGTAGCACATAGCAGAGTAGTATGTCTGTGCTGCTAGATAAAGGAACAGGAGAAGAGCCCCTGTGCTGTAACAGTTTCTTTGCTGTTGCTGGGGTAAGTTGATGTGGGTGGAATTTACTCTTTTTTTTAGAAGCAAGAACACGGTTCTGTATTGGAAATACCTTTGTACCTACAACTTCTGTCACTGTGGTAGTTTCCGAGGTCTTTGCAATTGTGACTGCAAACTTGCCTTGCCTTTTAGGCACCTTGTAAGTTCATGAGTAAGCAAGGAACCTACTCATGCAAACTAACTTGCAACACAGATAGGGCCTTTCTGCTAGCATGGGGTCTGACTGAATTGGAGTTATTCTTGTGTCAACTCACTGATGAAAACTTCCATTACTACTTCCATTTTTGAACAGGATTCTGCAACCAAAAATACAGTTTTTTTTTTTAAAATCAGTGTTAACTTCTTTAGTGAAGTTGTATTGTTCTTTTGAGGCGTTCTCTGACTGCCAATTCTTTATCTCTTGGTCAGGTACAACTGGTAAAGCATCGTCTCCACCACCTGTACTAGACACAAGACAGATGAGCGAGAAGCTGGAGACGATATTATATCAGCTCCGTCAGGTAACTCGTGAGAGGGATGAGCTGCGCAAGCGACTTGCACTTTCGTCTCCTGGATCAACTTTTGATGACTGCAGGTAAAAATAAAGGAAATGTATGGTTTTAATTTAGGCCTCAGTAGTGTTTTCAAGTGTTTTGACTCCTGCTTGCCTGTAAAGCAGCAAGGATATTGCAATGTATGTATGTTACTTGTAACCTACTTGCGTCCTAGTGATGTGTGTGTACACAGGTGACCATATCCAGGATTCAGAGCTGCCTGTTGAATGCCTATTCCCACTTTCTCCAGCAATTTTGCTGTTGGAATGAGGGGAGTAGGGCTCATCTCTGTGTTGAGAGAAGAAAGCAAACAAGTTGTTAGGCTTCCTGGGTTATGTTGTGGGCAAAGAAAGAAGACAGAGAAGCGGCTGAAGCATTTGCTGTTTTGAAAGCAAGAGAGAAGAAAGGGAAATAGCTCTGAATACTTGGCTGGAGGAGAGAAATTAGGAGCGAGGGATAGAATCTCAGCTATTTCTGTGTTTCTGCAAGGAGAGAGCTGTTTGGACTTCTGTTGAGGGGAGTAAGTTTTTTAGGAGATACGCTTTCTGGTATACATATATTGAGGGACTGTGTAGCATTAACATGTTGAGAGTAAGGAACTCTCCTCCACTGAGAAGTTATGGATGCTGCCAAGTTAAAATAACATGTGTTCAGTCAGTTAATGGTCAGCAGCCTTATGCAGCTCGTTCCAATTTGAGGGTTGATAAGTTATGAGGAAGTACTCAGGGAGTGTATGAGTTAATTGTATATAAGGATTTTATTGGGTAGGAAGCAGAATTGGTTTATTTTAGAGGGTTAAAGATCTGCTAATGTTTATAAATGAGACTTTGGGCACACTGAGCAGGTACTTTTTGCCTGCAGTAAGTACATGTAAGAGATTTTTTGAACCTTTGAAAAAATTGTCTGTCACTGAATCTGAAATAAGAGCAAAGAACAGATTTTCTGGGAGGTGTTGCCATGATGCTTCAGCTTCTCTGAACTTTAATGTTTTATTTGTTGTTATTTTATCTGTTACTTCATCAGCTCTATCTGTACGTGGTCAGGTGGTTAATTAAACTTCTTCTCCTTACGAGGTAAGGTCAAGGTTTGAACCAATGAACTGGAATTGAGAGAATCTGGGCATTTTATTCACTCCTTAGCTACCCATCTTAATGCCCCCTTCTTTCCCCCATGAGTTCTGAGGGTTACTTTAAGAGCATTGTGTTCTATCTGAGGGTCTCTAAGTGTTGTGGGGATGGGAGAGGAAAAGGTTGTCAAAAGCTAACATCTTTTGCATAGCTTCCAGTTACTTATTTATACAGAGGGATTTCTTATATGAAGTCACTAGAGCTTAGGAATTGAGGATTTTGTAGCTTACAATAATGTTCTCCATAATCCAGGATGCTATTAATAAAGTTCTGATGAGCTGTCCTCTAGACTGCCCTAGTTTTTGCTCTTTAATTGTCAAATCAATCTTCTGCTGCCAGCGTAGGATTTGTATGTTGTGGAAAATATAAATGTTTATAGCTTAAAGAACAACTCATCAAAATAAACATTGCACTTGGGCAGTGCTTGGACAGTGTATGTTAGACGGAGGATGCTGCCTTCCACAGAATTAAATATTTGAAGAGTGGGAAATGAATGACGATTATTAGTTAACCTTTTTTTCCTTCAGTATAAAAACAACTACTCCTCCCATCCACATCTATAGTTTTTGAAAGCTTGGTGGTATTTTTTTTTTTAACTTTGTTTTGTATTCTTTCCTCATATAAAACTAATCTACAGCCTTCCAGGAGTCAAAGCCCGAGACATTGCAAACTGTTATGCTGAAGTGTGAAAGCTGAAAGATCATTATTTAGATGATGACTTTTACGACCCAAAAAGGGCTTTTGCTTTCCTGGCTGTGTGTGCCGCTTTAACAATGGCTGTACCAAACACAGGTGGTGTAGAGGCAAATCTTGACACGTCATGATGGCGTGCTTCAAAACAGTTGCAGCTCGCAACACATTCGTAGGCTGGGCTGCGCTGGCTGTGAAGGCTGGCAGTTGCAAAGCCGAGAGCTGTTTTCCAGAGCAAGTGTTGAGTAAGCCTAGAGCAGTGGAAGGGGAGCCACAGAAGTGGATTGTGATGTGCTGAATCAGATGAACATGTGTCATCCTGCTGGACAGGAGTAGGATTGCTCATGCTGTGCTTGTGTCACTTGACAGTGACTGTATGCAAGCACGTGTTGTGGTGATTCAGCAGAGATTTGACCAAATGATTTAGTGTGCTCAAGGTGCATTTTATAGACTTAAACTTGCTAGTCTTACTGCTTACGTAGTAGTAGAAGAGAACTGCAGTACAAATAAAACCCCTGAAAACTGCCTTTGAGGAGAGACTGTTTTACGTGTAATCTGTAATTGTTGGTGGCGGTGGTGGAATTGCAATAGCAAATGAAAACATTTTCAAGTTGTTGGGTAGCCATTGCCCACAGAGTTGGATCTGCCATTGGCATTAGCTTTTTTATGTCAGCATCAGATACATGTAACTGTCAGTCTCACTGTGGCCTTGGTTTATGCTCAGGCTAATTCCACTGGAATACAAAGGATTTTTAGAGTATTATATGAATATCAGAAAAACAGTTGGACTTTTGACACTAGCATTTTAAACTTTGTTAACTTTTGAATCAGTGCTTCCAAAATAGTAACTGAAACCTCTCCTTTATTGAACTCAGTTTTCTGTACTTTGTGAGGCATTTTAGCGTAAAACTGTGGTGGTCTTACTTAAACAAGAGTCAACGACTACATGTGTTTGAAGGGACTGCTTTGTTGCACCAGGTTTGATTCTTTTTTTATGTTTTTAAATTTTTTTTTTTTTTTTTTTTTACTTCTGACCAATACTGCTCCTGTGCATATCCCTGTTTTTCTTGCTGAGACATAAACCCTTGGAATAGCACTGCAGAATGTATGGCCTTGGCTATCCAGGTGGTTTTTATTTCATGTAGATGAGCTAGAATGCAGGATGTTACTGGTGGCATTGTTGTTCCTTCCTCATTGTGTAGGTAGGCTAACTACTGTAGTTACCTACATGGTATCCATATGTTTATAGGATATAAATTTTTTTTTTTCTTTTTTTCAGAATAATGCTAGTGTTACTTTAGCAATATATGAAATACATGATTGATGTTAGACTTGTAGAACAAGTTCTTACCATAGCTTTGAGACTCACCTAACAGTTATCCTTTAGTAAAAATTCATACACTGAAATATTTTGCACAAATATGAATTATGATTACAAGTTTAATGTGAACATGTGTTAATGGGTCTCAGTAAGGTTAATGCTTCAACTGAGAGTTAAACTGTGCTTCAATTAATGTTGTCATTTTAATGACTGTGGTGGACAGATGGTGTCTACTTTCAATAATTTCACTCTAAAGTCTAATTTAAATCAGTACTTTGGTTTTTAGTGATTCTGTAAAGGGTGTGAACATTTCAAACTGAGTTTTACTTATGCTAACTAGGGTTGTATTTTAAAAGAATAATGCTGCAGTAGCTGCAGTAATATGTCTGTAACACTGACTTCTTTTGGCGCCCCTAAACAGTGAATTAAAAGAAACCCTAAAAGATGTTCCTGTAGATGTGACTTGAATATGTAGTTAATTTATATGAATTTGGCTTTTAATTGTTGCTAAAGTCTGCCAGTCAAGGAAAGGGTTGCTAAAAAGCACCTTCATGTCATACACACCTTCCCTATAAGTCTGTGAATCAGATGTGGCTGGTTTTTTTTTTTTTTTTTTTTTTTAACAACTCCCACCACTGCAGCAGTGTGAAACCATTTCCATTTCAATTCAATTTCCAGCTGCATTTCAGTTCCAGAATCTGTGTTGCTGGGGTTTTTTTAATGAAGCAAAGAGAATTCTGATTGCTTTTCAGGCTGTGCTTACAGCGAAGCCTTTTGGGAGAGAGTGAGGTGGGAGGGAGAAAGGGTGTTCTGTGCAGCAACAGAGCAAATCTGATATGAGAATAAAGAGAGTCAAATTAGAAAGCAATTGTTTTCTTTTGGGTGGGGTTTTTTTTTTTTTTCTTCATTGCCTGTGGAGTTATGAGAGACCTAGGAGATGACACAGGGACAGCTGTCAGAAGTTTCATTTTGAAACTACAAAATTCAATGGTGCAAAAATTTTATGACTGTGTAGACGAGGAACAGTTCAATTTAGAGTCTCTTTCAGAAGCTTAGTGCTTCAAAACAAGAAGGCACAATCCTGCTAATTTAGTTTCTAGCATGATTTTTTGAATAAATAAAGGTATCATGTGCAATGACCACACATTCTAGACATAATCTATGTTGATCAATTGCTTAACAAGGTAGATTATTTTAGGAAATTTCTCCTCTCCCAATATCCTGATATGCTAAACAAAATTTTAGTAAAAAAATTTCCTTTCACTGACTTTGGCTTTCACTTTGTTCAGCTTACTGAAAATTGCTTATTGGAGATTCCTGATAATTATTTGAACAAAATTCGGGTTATCGTATGGAAATGTGAGGTAGATTCTGACATGTTTTCTCATTCATTTATAGCAGTTTAAAAGAACACGGTAACAGTCAATCAGATACGTAATTCAGCAGAATGACTTGGTCCAATTAGTTAAATTCAATGCTTGGTTAGTCAAGCTGGTCAAATTCTGCTAGCACAGATGTATGCGTTTGGTGTCCCATTGAAATTCTTTCTCTCAACTGATGCTGATTTTCCTAGGGAGCTGTAGACAAGGTCCTCCAGCTGCTGCCTAGATGAGAAGTTTTTCCTAGCCCAGGTCTCCACGCAGCCCCCACCTGACTTTGGCAGCCTCTTTTCAGCCCACTGCAGCTCTGTGCTTTTTCTCTGAGAGCTTTGACATGGTAGCACAGGAAAGTCGAGCGTACTATGATCGACTTGTTTCTTGTATCAAGTGACAGTTCTGCTCTGTGATACAGTTGCTCAGAAGAGAAGGTACGTGCACACTCAGGACTATTTTTGGCTGTGTTAGTATTAGACAGAATTATCTCGTTATTAGATGTTACATCTCAGTATAAAATAATACAGGTTAAAGTCAGTGAATTTTTATTTGTGGTTGCATCTTAATGTGAAGTGGTCAGTATTTAAATTAAAGCATAATATAACCTAAGTATCAACAGCTGTGTTATACTATTTATTTATTGGATAGTAATTTCCCAGACTTTTCATTCTCTTTAGTACCTGATGTTTGACTTTCCATGCTAGGAAAGCATGATATTCTATGATACAAGCTATCTTTCCATGACATTCTTTTTCCATGCTAGGCCTAGTCCAAAACCAAATCATGATTATGAAAGACTGAAGATTCAGTGCATGAAGGCCATGTCAGACCTACAGTCTCTGCAGAATCAACACACCAAGACACTAAAAAGGTGTGAAGAAGCGGCAAAAGAGGCAGACTTTTATCAGTAAGTATTACTAAAGCTATATGAGGTAAGAGTTTACCAGTCTGTGCTAGATCATAAAGTATTAGAACATGGTAATCAAATAATTGTTTTTAATTCTGTTTTTCCACTTTAATAGCAAGATTAACACTTGCATGCATCAGATAAAACATTTCTGGCCTATTTGAAATGATAAAGTATGGTTTGCATGTTTTATTTTGAAGAATTTGAGATAGAAATCCCTGATGTCTAGCTGGGACACTGACAAGGGAAGCCTAGTTACTGACTTGCAATTATAATCCAATAGTTTTATTGCCAGGCTGGAGAAGAGAATATAATTTGAAAGAACGTAATTTGTTACTTTCTTTTAATAGGTTGTGATAGCTCTCACGCTGCCTTCTGTAAGTTTTAACACAGGCTTAGACCAATTGTAAGCGTTTATGAAAATGCAATAAAATAGGGAGAAATTGGTGAATATTTCTAGCATGTATTTCTGTTTAGAAAACAGTCATTGATGCAAGTAGGAACATGTTTTCTTCACTTGAAGGGAAGACAGCTCAGAAGTAGAAATGCAGATAAATTCTTGGTTTGAAGGCTGCTCTAATTTTGGACTGCTACCTTGAATTATAATCTGAATGATAGCGTCATCATGTGACTCTCAGTTGTTTAGTTTCAAAGTGAGAGTATTTCTTTCAATAATTACGGCTTGCATAATGAAGTTCGGAGTGACTTTGATAGCTTTTTATCTGCTTGAATGTAGTCAAAACATACACAGTGTGTTTTTGTTGGTTGTGGGGTTTTTTTGTTTCGTTGGGCTTTAGTTGTTTCTACAACAACAGCATACAAGGAGATTTTTTGCAGTTTTCATCTGTATTTTGGCTGGCTGCTGCTCAGCTGATGGGCCCAAGAGAAAGTGGTGATTAGTCAGGCAATTCCTGTTATCTCCAGGATCATCTTAGTCTTGAATTAGACCATTTCTGTTTGTTTATCTGCTTGCTTTTAAAATTCCTGTGAAATGACATTGATGGGTGGCATAAATCCATCATCTCTTCTGATGCTGTTTAAGAGTACTGTGTGTTTTCATGTATTTTCATATTTATGGCCCTGTTTGTTTCTGATTCCCCCCCCGGTGCTTGGAATACTCAAATATACAGAATTGAGTTAGTTTGACCTGCTTTCTTGGTAGGAAACTCATACTTGAAATGAATTAGTCCAGGACTTTGTCCTGGCAAGTTGGCCTCTGAGAGCATTTTTTGTGTGCCATGACAGCACGTTGCACAGTCGGCTGCTGAGTGACCAGTCACAGCTGAAGGAGGACATGGATACCTTGAAGAGGAAAAACACGCAGTTGGTGCGAGAACATAATCATCTCCAGCAGTCATGTGAGGAGATGAAGAGACTTCACGATGAGGATCAGAAAGAGATAACAGACCTGCGCAGCCAGCAGCAGCAGGTAAGCTGTAGCTTGTAGTGTAAGTGCTAGAAGAGATCACGAATTGCCCCTTTGATAAATAAGTCAATAAAACGGAATGTGCGGCATTGCTTCCTTTTATGTCTTACTCATTCTAAAACATCCGCCTTACGTTTTACAGCAGTAGAGGAAAAAAATGATATTTTGGATACTAATTGATTTTCTGTGTTTAGCTGGAAAAAAGAACAAGGGATATAGAATATTAGGTGGTATTTAAGAAATTTTGATGCAGAGATGAAAAAATGTACATGAGGAAGATTGTATGTGCATGATTTTTTTTTTTTTTTAAGTGGGTGGAGAGGCATCAAATCCTAGCTTGAATTTGGAAAGTGATTAAAAACATGACTTTGTTCCTAGGGTATTTTATGGGACAGGACTAGCTTTAAACTTGCATGCTAGGTTTGTTTTTTGGAAAGTATTGCAATAAAAAGAAAAGTGATGGATATGTTTTTTAGTGGTTTTATTTTTTTTTGTTTGGTGGTTTTTTTTGTTTTGGTTTGTTTTTTTGGGTTTTTTTTAGTTGTTTTTTTTTTTTCCCCCCCAAATTATTCTAGTGACACCGTAATGAGGATGATTAAGTTTGGTATTTAGGTTTGCAGACACTATTCAGTTAGAACAAAGCTACAGGTTGATCAATGTTTCTGAACATAAAAAAAAGACAAACTTTTTGGGAAGAGGTGGACATTTCAGAGCTGTATATAACAGGCTGTTTCTAGGACAATGTTGTTCACATTCTGTAGAAAGAAAACTGAGAGTAATAGTAAGGAGCAACTGGTCATACCAGGTCCACAGTTCACCTATGGAAGTCTGATCATTTAGTTAGAATAGTTACAGTAACACGTGGAATGGTTAAACAGAATATCTCAGTTAACTGTGTGTAGGCTGATTCACAGGGCAAACTTGCAAGTCAAACATTAGGCTTCAGAAGCAAAACCTATGCAAACAAAAATAATTATTTGCTAGGGTAGGAGGGGCAAAGGTCAAAGCAAGCTGGATGTGCTGAGTGGCGCTTCAGGAGGTGCTTGAGGGCTAGTGCAAAGAGGAGTGAAGATTTGTATTTCCTTTTGATCCCTTCCTCTAACGTTATCTTAAGAGTTCTGCTGTGAAATGGTTTAGTGGCTTGGTTCAGAAGATGGCTGATGTTCTGTGTAGCAGAAATGGTTTGCTGTGGAAACCTGGGCAAATGGCTTAATTGTTCTGTGCCTCAGTTTCCCAGTCTGCAAAGCAGGGATGTAAAACCTGCCAGAGAAGGCTATTGTATTTTGAGGTTCTGTCCTGAAGTTTGAAATTATCTGGCAGCACAAAGGAGGCTGAAGTATAATTGTCAGTACTTATTTAAAGAAATTTAGTCTCATGTCAACATCGCGATTAAACCGTTAAAGAAAACTATGTATGTGGCTCTCAGTGAGAAAGTCGTGTAACTCCATTTCTCCACATGTCAGGGCGAATCATGGTGTCTCGAAGGGGCGCCAAGAGTTTTACCTTGTCTGTGTCATTTCTCATCTGAATTAGTCTAACACTATTTATGTCGATCCCTCTGACGTGTTGTTTCATCGTCAGGCCATAGCAAAACACAGCGTCTCGGTGGCCTCCGAGGGCAAAAACTTTTGATCAGGTTACTCTTCGTGTGGGATTGTCGTGGATTTGCTGTGTAGCAGCTGACCAGCTTAAGTTTCTGCTGCTCGCTTATGAAGTTTCTCGTTGCCATGGCTGTCTTTCTCGGTCCAGCTGGGACTATTTACTTTTTCTCAGACTGGGATTTTGAACAGGAGATCTTCCGTATTACACTGCTTCCTGTTTATGGCGTTTCTGCCTTCCTCCATCAAATCTCTGTTGGCAAGTTTATGCTGAATTCCACCCAATTTCTAGTCTATTTGTCTGTCCTTAATTGTTCAGTGTGTTTTCAGCAAAAAGATATTCCATATATGCTTTAGACAGTGAGAGTGGTTTGTTTGTGTTTGGGTTCTCAAATACTTGGTTCTCAAACCTGTTCTCAGAATGCTTTGGGAAGTAGTCTTCAGGAAAATGGCTCTCTTGAGCAGGTTTAAATCAACATGTATTTACACTTCACATATGCCTACAGTTTATCACATGTTTGGCATATCTGAAATAGTTCACTGAAGCATGCTAGCTAATCATGGGTCCAACTCTGTGTGGGTAGAGATGTATGTGGAAATAGCCCTGCCAATGAGACTCTCACCAAAGTGCAGCCTTGTTCCAGGATTGCTTTATGAACAGTAACTCACTGCTTTTACATGTCTTGGTTAGTTAAGAGAGATCAGTGTCACACTGAAGAACTTTGTGTCTCTTATCTTGCTGTGTAGAGAATTGGTTTCCCGACAGTGACATTGTTATCTGCTACCTGTGGGCAGTGAGTATTGGGCAAAGAGCGGGTGGTTTCTTTTGGTCTCCTTTTCTTTTGGTCTGCGGGCATCCAGGTTCTTTGATGTTGAGGAACTAGTCCTTACTCTGAATATAAGAAACAAAAGAAGATGACGAGCCAATTTGTGCATGTAGGGTAGTTGCTATGTGTTTGGTTCCAACTTTTTATAGAGCTCATGTTTTCTATCTTTTTTTCCTTTTAATTTTTTAATACTTTTTATTTTCAGATAGTTAGGGGCATAGCTTTGTAGGCTCATGTTAAGATTATGTAAATTCCTGGCACTTCTCTATATAGAGCATTTCTGTTTCTTCCCACCTCTCCACCAAGGCCAAATTTCTATTTAAAAGACAAAAAAAAGGAAAAAATGAGCATAGTATTTAAAAAAAAAGGGGGGGGGGGGGGGAGTAGGGAAGGTAAGGCCTCATTTCAGGCACATTTTTTTTGCCTTTTGAGAAGGAAGAAGGACTAGATGTGCTGAAGCTCATTAGGGGACTTCTGTTTTTGTTGCTGGTCATTTATCATCAGTGTTGCTATTTACCACAAGATTCTTATGTCAATGGAAATTAATTTGAAACTAAGATTCGGGTCAGACTTTATTCATGTTTAAATGGATTTTTCTCTTCCAATTCATATTTTATGGATAGCTCTTGAAACACAAACCTCTGTGGGTAGTTCTTAGATGAAATATTGTATGAATATGAAAATATATGCCTAAGTGTAGAACATATTTAGGGTAGATTTTATTCTTTTGAAGTTTTAAATTATTTGTTCATGGAGGATACAGGCAACCTGTCATGAATGCCACCTTGTGGTCATTTCGTAAATTACAGCTGTCATCTTGGTCATCAAATAATGATTATCTCTTGCTAAAACCACAAAGTACTTCGAAAACAATGTGAGTTGAATAACTGTTGGTAGCAGTTACCATTAGAGAGATATTTTTCATAAACTTGTGCACTCTAACTGCGAAAAAAATCTGCTTTATTGCATTAAGCAGATATAGTAATGCTTAGAGTAACAGTAATGCTTAGAAGAGGCTCAGTGTTTTGTTAGTCATTAAAAAGAGTGATTATTAGAATCGATTAATTTATTTTTGTTCTAATATTGTTTCATATATATGTTTTAAATCAAATTTATCAGACTGATTAAAAAGTCAGTTTACTAATACAGTTTCTGGCTTTTTTTTTAGGTTATGAAGCAAAATGGGTCATCAGAGATATTAAATAAACTTTATGATACAGCAATGGACAAGCTAGAGGGCGTGAAGAAGGATTACGATGCCCTAAGGAAGCGGTACAATGAGAAGATTGCAAGTCACAATACAGATCTAAGCCGCCTAGAACAGGCTGAGGAGGAGAACAGACGTCTTCAGAAACAGATTGACATGTTAATGAAGCAAAGGGACACAGCAATACATTTTCAGCAGCAATATTCAACCTCTCTTAGAAGGTACAATCAGGTTTTGATACCTTCAGACACGCTGTGAAAGCACTAACAGTTCTAATGTAGCATCTTCTTTTCTCTGTGGCAGAATCACAAATACTTTTCTAACTTTTTTTTTCTAAAATTTTTCTCTAGTGTACGTTATCTTGGTGTGATAAGTAAGCAAGCATTTCTATATAAGATTTTCTGGAAGGTCCTAGAAGGTGTGATGGAGATGTTTATTTGGGGAAATGGTGCTTTTTCCTGAGAAAAGGATTTCCCAGTTAGGGTTTAGGAATTGTGTGAGGAATTTTAACCATTGTTTAGCTCATGTGAGAAAGGGATAGTCTGCCTTTCAAGCTATATTTATTCTTAGTTGTAGACACAGGAGTCAAATACAACCAAAGTTTTGTAAAACCTCAGACTTAGTGTTTCAGACAAAGTCCTCAATGGGTGGTGAGTCCATCAACATATATATCTTCATTTAAATATAAAAAACAAGTCAATAGGAAGATATAATTTCTAAAAGGTGTTTAGCAAATGAAGATGTTCTCAAGCATAAGTTAAGTTGTCATGACATTAGAATTGCAGAGCATATGGGATTCTGAGACAGGCTGGCAGCAGAGTTCACTGGGTGCGGATGTCTGGGAGTCTTGCTTCTCTGGGATAGCGCTGCTGTACAAGCAGCACAGGTGCTAAAATGGAAGGGCATAGACGCTACGTCACACCACACTTAACCTCTCCCTGCTCCTCCTTGATACTAAACCTACATGGATACCCATATGGGGTAGGAAGAATGCTAATATATATATAAGGACTCTAAAGAGCATCTGTGGGTGTGTTGAGAAAGTTTTCACTGACATAAGTTAAGGATAAAACACAATCCCACAGACTAATGCAAAAAAATGTTGTCTTCCACATCCATAGACTTTTAGTGTTTCAAAAAGGTGAGACTGAGCATACATAATAATGCACGCATGAATAGCATGTACATAGTTGCGATACATCTAATTAACTTATAGGAGAGTATGAGTAATAAGAGAATAAGTTATGTAACGTAGACTGCCATGGATTCCTGAAAGTTAGGGAAAGCCTAATATGTACTACAAGAAACAGTACAACCATGCTGATACATGCAGAAGCTCAACATATTTGTATTATGGCCTTGTGATTTAGGTCTTCTCCTTGAGAGGAAGGTGTGGTTTGACACTGAGCAGAGGTTGGTTTTAAGAATTTCATGAAAGATATTAATGTTGCTGTGAACCAGTGATCCAGCTAAATTAACATAACTGAACTTCAGGAATTTTTGCCTTTTATTCAGTTGCCTTCGGATCTGGACTTCTTTGTTACTTGTTTCTATTTATAGAAGCCTTTATTTGTCTTAAGTTTATACCCTTTCTTCATAAGCAAAGCCATATTTCTCTGGGTGACTGACCAAAAAATTTCAAAATGCATTTCAGGTGAGTATAGTTTTCAGAATATAAGACTTAACAAACTTGTAGTTTGAGGATGAATGGGTCATAAATTGTAGCACTTTCTTTTTCTTTTTTTTTTCTTTTTTTCTTCATTAATACCAAGTGTAAACACAGTCAAAATAGGTTTTAAAGAGAACAGGAAGAGCAAGATTCCAGTGGTGGCCCAGGTCTCATTTTGAATGAATCTTTGGCCTTAAAAAATATCAGAGAAGTGTTCAACCTTTTTTCTTTTATCTGTAATGTTGTCACAATAATACGCAGCATATGAATGGTACCAAGATGATTTAGTTGGCGACTAGTTTGCAGATCACAAATTAGCTATACCAGCTATCTAATTCCTATGTGCTAAACCTTACCCTACCTGTGTGTGTCTGCATTTTGCATGTGGGCTATGGCACTTGGACAGATCTGCCTGTAGTTCTCAATTGTGTTGAAGACAAAGCAGGCAGTCCTGGTGAGGGTTCTCTTCAGTATTGGCTGCTCCTTATAAACCCATGCTTACTGCTACTGACCTATCTGACCCTGCTACTTGCAATCCATTCGGAATGGTGGTTAGAAATGGGCTTTCTCTACAGAAGGTATCTGTGAAAATGTGATCCAGGTGCCTGTATTTCTTCCTTAGGAGGCAATGCAAGGTCAAGCAGGACCAAGGTGTTTCAGCCGGAACTTTGCTTTTAGGTTTCTAGGCAGGTTTTTATCACTATTTGATATGAATATCCCTCTATGGCAGAGACCTTCCTTTCTGATCAATTCCCCATGATAGTATGCTTGTCGTGGTTTGGTTGTTTTTTGGTGTTTTTTTTCCTTTGTGGTTTTTTTTTTTCTTCCTTCCCTACTGATGACTTTTTGTTTGTTTGTTTGGCAAACATTGCCTTAAATCTTTTCTCCTCCCCTCTCTCCTGTATCCTCCCAGTATTGTCCTTGATTTGATCCCCAAATAGTTTTCAAATGTACTGTGGGTTCTCACATGGCAGTGAGGTGGTTTGGCATAGTCTCTTAGATTTCTGATATATCCTTGTACTTCTCCTATAGTATATTCTTGCTTTCATGCTCATGGTTTTGAAAAGATGAAATCCAGACTGTAATATGTTAGGTCTTCTGTACTGCCAGCCTAATGATCTCTTAAACTGAAGAATTTCCTGAAAGGAGCAGGGTGATGGTTTTGAAATTACTGGCAGATGCTTCAGTAATGCTATGGCAATGCTTTGAATACACTGAGGTTCTCAAGGAAATATTTGAAATTGGGTTTACAGCGCTCTCTTGGGAAAGGTCAGGCAACATGCTGGATTAGACAAGAAGTCACACTTTTAAACAGTGTGAGGCATGTGTGTGTGAGAGAGAGGGAGAACGAAGTCTGCCAGAGGTTTGTGGGCACCTGAAATTTGGATAACCCTAAAAGCCCATCAGGTTATGTACAGTGTTTCCATCAATGGCGTTTACCTTGGAGTTTTGGAAAAAAAAACATGCAAGGAGATCTTAGTGTCCAATTATTGTAAAACACTGCTCTCAGGAGAAGTTCCTTTTCAAAGCTAATTGTGAACTTGTCTGTCGAGTTATATTCCCACTTTTAAGAATGTTTTGTCAATATAAACACAAAAGTTACTACTTCTAAATTAAACTTTTGATGTCCTTTATTTTGATTCTGCCATACTTCAGTAGGTAAGCATGTATGTTTTAGTCTGTGTTATATTTTTAAAAAATTACTTTTGACGGTTTAAGATATTTTGCATTTCAGTTTCACTGGATGACCTGCTGATGAAAACAAACAGTAATATTTGAATTACCTGGTTTTAGTTCCATTGTCTGCATTTTTTACTCTAAACCCACTTTTTTTTCCCTCCTCCAAATTGTCCGTTACCAACCTTGTGGCATATTTGGGCATGTGGAAGATGTTCTGTTTTTTCCAATTTCTGCATTTGTTTCCTTTCTTCCCACATGCCTGGGAGTGTGTGTTGGGAAAAGAAATTCACTTCTAAGATGAGCAGAGCTCAATGCAATAAATAAGGTTAAACTTGTGCTATTAAATAATGGCAATGTTTTGCATTCCTTTTAGAATAATCTGATAGAAATTAACTTATAATAATTAAACTAATTCTAAATTATTTCTAACAGTTTTTATGTTTCAGTTCCTTAAAGAGGTTCTCTAATATTCCTAACGGTTCATTCATATTCCTAAAGCAATAATTGGTCCAACTTTTATTTTGTAGCACTGAGATTACATTGTGTAAGATGTCCTCTGCGGTTGTGTTTTACCAATGCATACATTTGGTTACCCAGCCAAATCCTTAATGTATGAAAAAGGAAAATGAGGAACAAGTATCTCATTGGCATTTCTGCATGTTTTTAGGTTTGAATCAGTACAGCAGGAGCTAAGCAACGCCACAGCACAAAACAAAGAGTTGCAGAGAGAGATGGAGCGATTGCAGTCGGAGGTGACAAGGTTCAAAACAATGCAGCTGAAAGCAGCAAAGGATGCAGAAAAATACAAGGAAGAAAGGGATTCAGTTTTCAATGAGTACCGCCTCATAATGAGTGAGAGAGATCAAGTAATTAAAGAGGTAGATAAGCTTCAAACGGAGCTGGAGCTTGCAGAGTCCAAACTGAAGAACACATCTTCTGAGAAGCGAGTAGCTAGTGAAGAGATGGAAGCTTTAAGACAGGTACTAACCTATTCTTTCGATGGGGAAGGTGTCATCACATTGATGATGCTAGAATCAGAAGTGTGTGACTGATTAATGGAAAATAGGAATGCACTGCAAAGAGGAAATTCCATGCTGATGTTTTCCTACAGCAGTCCTTTTTACTAGCAATTTATTAAGACTACATGTTTGAACAGAGTACCTGTCAGTTGAAATTTACTATTCACTTGACTTAATTCTGTTCTGCTGATTATAAATCCTTCCTTTACTGCGTTAGTCTTCTATGCCTTTTCAAGTAATGCTCTCTGTAACAACAGAGCTCTAAATATTCATTATTTTTAACTTCTAACCTCTACAGGAACCACTGGATACTGTCTACTATGACTTAAGACGGTACATGATAAAATAGTCTCAAATATTTATGCAAAGCCTGTGCTGACATGCATGTTCTTACTCATTTGCCCTCCTTCTGCCTTTAAGTTAAAGAGGATACTTTGAAGATTTTTCACTAGAACTCAGGCATGCCTTAAAGTGTGTGAAACCAGAACTTTTGTATTTTTCAGCAATATGTTCTTGAAATGCTTATATCACAACCATGTTATAATGATGCTTTTAAGATTTCCAAAACACAATTTACTACTCGGTTTCATTTCAGCTGACATGCATTGACTTGACCCTTTGGTTTACAAATACTTAATTTAGCATGAAATAAATACAAGCAAATGTATTCCATTGCCTATAAATCTCATTTTACTTTTTTCACAGCATTACATCTGAACAAAATGCCCTTTATGAAAAATCAAGGTGTGGAGCTTTTTTAAATCACACCATTGTTGAGGGACATAATGTGGATTGTGACATATGGCATCAGAGCTTTTAAAAATAACTAACTTCTGGTTTTAAGGATTCATAGTTTTCGACCCTGTGTGTTTGCCAGCTAAGTAATTTAGCTTCTACAGTGAGTGAGGTTTTAATAAGTTTCATACCTGTTCTACTTTCATCAAAGCGATTAAGCCAATAGAAATGTCTGTTGTTGATTTCAGTGGAATCAGGGTAGCTGGTAGGGAATACTGATGGAAATAGCCACAATTAGTTGTTCTGCTCCAATTTGTTATATCTGTCATTATGGTACTATGAGTAATTTGCCAAAGTGCTTTAAGGGGCAGGAAATTAAAATTTTAAATACATGGGTGGTCCCTCCTACCTAGATGACTTGAAGGGGTGTTTGAATAAGAACAGGGAAGAGCTTAGGACTGGTGAGTGAGATGCCGTCAGGGCACAGACATGCATTGTTCTTCACCCCCAGAACTGGCCCATCAGAAAGCAGAAATAACTGCTTCTGTAATGTACTAAAAGCTGTAAAATAGCAGTGCTGTGAGTTTTCTTTTTGTTCCTGTCTTCCTTTCCTGTAGCTATGACTCTTTTGCTTGTGAGCACGTATGTTCCTGTGTCACATAGTACAGTCTCACTGCAGCTTCATTCAATGCATAAGGGATTTTCTAGTTCTGCCAAGGCAAATGTTCGAAAGGTTGAAAAAATTTATTGCTCAAGTGATACGTTCACTTGAAATAGTATCCTGAAAAGTGCTCCTACATAAGTGGGATTCTCCTGCCAGTGAATAGTTTGGTCTGGTGCTGGCCAAAAATGTAACTTACTGTTCTTCGCTCTCCTTGTGATGTACAGCAGCTTTACATGCCCTGTTACATAGCACCCATAGGCTGACTGAAACAGCACTGAATCCATTTAGGTCATTTTAAATGTAGTTTATTCTGTGAAGCTTTTCTTTTCTTTTGTGTCCCAAAGAAATGCAAAAGCAACTGAAATGGAGAAGAGGTTGATTGAACTTGAAGAGGTATTATATCATGAACAGTTACTGATGAGGTCAGTCAGTCAATTTCCTAGTTAGATGTTTAAGCTTTATTGGTCACACATGCCCAAACATAATGGGTTAATTTACATCCAAAATGTAATAATTGTCTGGCATTATAGATGACAGAAGAAATGTCAGGATTTTGCACTGTGGACAGTTTTGGATTAAGTTCTTGCGAGTTTGGCCACTCAGAGCTAGGGATTAGACGTTAATAGATTTCCCCCTCTACTTGCCCAGTGGTGTTTTTGTTTGGCATAATCTTTTGCTCCAGCAAATACTTAGAATGTCGTGTTTCATCTCGGTGGTAGTCGGATTTCCCCTCTGTTTAATAGACCTGTTGTATTTTATCCTGTATGAGGTTATGGCACTATATTCAGATGCGAGAACTTCCTTCAAACATAAGAATTCTTCACAAATTCAGAATCATTCTTCAAACCAAACTACTCTAATGTTTCCAAACAGAAGCTGTTCTAATTGGTGCCAAATGACATGTTGCTCTGTGCTGTCATGGTGTGATTTTGTGCAAATGTCACAGGAAGAAGACAGAGGTGAAATTTTACTACTGACCACTGGAGGCAATGGCTGCTTTTATTCAGATAGTTTCTATGAAGCATGCTGGAATAAACTGTGGCAACATGTATTTTTTCCAATCTCCTTAAAGTACTGTAAATTCCTGTTTAATGAAGGGCTTTCTGGGAACTTTCCCTCTGCCTTGACACTTGATGACTTTCATCTCTGCTGCATGCTGAAAAAGACTTAATACTTCTGTGTAAGTTTTATACATGCACTTGAATGCACATTTTATACAGACTAAAGTTAAGCTGTGCAAAACATGGCTTCCAGTACCAAAACTTGTCTGCACCACCAGATGGGTCGGGGATTTCTCTCTTCAGAGGTACTGAGCAACAGAAGCTCTTACTGATGTTGAAAAAAGCCTTGAGTGCTCTGGTAATTGCCATGCACTGATATGTTTAAAGTTCACGGAGTGAGTCATTTATTCTAGTGCTTGTCTGTTACTCTACAGCAAAAATATCTGTTTTAATACCATCGCAGAACGGTTTTAACAGCCTGACTAGCCTTAATTAGATGCCGTATCTCAGAAACAATTACGTTAGTACAGCAAAATGCAGTTGTCATCCATGCTTTAAATACTCAGTCTTATTCCTTGCAAATTGTAGAGGAACACAGAATGGAAATCAGTTTATGACATCGTGTCTTTCCAGCCTTAAGTATTTGGATCCTTTCTTTCTTTTGCTTTTCAGGTGTCAGCTGTCTCTGGTAATCTTTTTGAGATGAAAACATCAGTAGTTTCCAGCTAGGAGTACCTATATGTATGTAGCAATTGGCTGAATGCTTCTAGAGAACTGGACCATCTAAAAATCTAGTGGCGTGAAATTCAACTGTTTCAATGCCTCATTCTTCCAATAGGAAGTCGAGTTTAAACTATCTTAAAATGACAGATTGTATTTTAGAGCTGCGGTTTACTCATCTTTTTTAGTATGATGCAGTTGAATTGCACATTTAATAAGATGTACTGTCATTCTGCTTTACAGCATACTGTAGTTTTACTTTGAACGTTCTGTAGTTTGCACATTGGTATCTTACTAGCATGTGACTTTAATGTCTCTTTAAAACTTACGAGGAAGCTGTAAGATACTTATGTAGCTGGGTTGTCTAAATTATTTCAGTCCTATTATATTGAGGCAGTTGCTTAAAAATATTTGCAATATATTCTTACCGTTTGCCATATTTAAAGCCTTTTTTTAAAACACCAAGTCTGACTGGTTAATAACCTTCCCTCATTTAGGTTCCTCAGAACTGTGAGTGCTCCCAGGTTCTTGCTTACTTTTGACATAGCACTGTGCTAATGCGATGGTGTGATACCTTTAATACCACATTTAATACTCTTTGCTAGTACTTACTTGTATGTAATGTGAGCACAGTCTGTTCTGCTCCCATTTTTCAGAACATTAGTGGTAAACTCTCTAGGCTTTTAAGGTGTCAGTGTGTATCCAGTTGGAAAGGTGAACTATTTCCTTCTGTACTTAACCTACTGCAAACAATGGATCTTGTTTTAGGAGCTAAACTCGGCTCTAGTGGAAAGAGATCGAGCAATTTGTGAGAGGAATGAGTTACTGGAAAAATACTGTCATGAAGTGAAGGACAAAGCCGAGGCCCAGAAGGAACTTGACCAAGCTTGCAAGGATATAGAGACAGTGAAGGAAGAAAGAGATGTTGCCAGGAAAGAGAGAACAGAAGCTATCATCCAGAGAGACCATCTACTAAGGGAATATTATCAAGCCCGTCAGGTATTGCAAGCCTTCACAGATGACTTTTTCTTTCTTAGCTTCAAAGGGTCAGTAATTTTCAAGAGATTAGTTAAAGGTCTGGGCATATTGGGTATCTTCCCCCTCTTCTCCAAGTCACTTTAAAACACCTTCATATAAATGCATGTACGTTCTTCAAGGCATAGTGATGGAACTTCTTGTTTGAAAGAAATAGAGTCATGCTTCATATTAAGTTTCTGTTTGTAAAAATAAATGGCAAATAAAATATTGTGATCCAACAGGTGGCTAGGCAGTTTATTATCTGCTGGTAGGCTTGTTGCCATCTATAATGTGTGTTGTTCGTGCCTGTGACCTGCTCAGGATGTTAGCTATTTCTAATACTTCATAAAGGAAGCTAATTGAAGTGTGACTGTAAATTTTCTAATCTGTACATGTTCTAAGTATAAACATTCTATTCTGACAATTTATGTCTCTGTGTGGGTAGTAACATTCTTACATTTCTGCACACTTACTGATGCTCTTGTCTTATGTGCAGTACTAAACATTAATCCACATACAACTGTAAATGCATATAATGTAGTATGAAAATACATAGTATCACAACTTTTATGCTCATGAAATAACTAAGGAATATGAAATTATTTAATATTAAACTAGATATTTTGGGTTATTTTCATTAAACTTGTATTCTTTTTTTCATTGAATACCAACCCTTTACCAGTACAGAAAAAGTTTTTAGTCTTGCCTGTCACACTGATATGCCAATCCCAAATAAGTGTGTGGGGAAGCAATTAAACTATGTTTTGAGTTGTACTAGAAATAAATCTTTCATTGCGTTTGGTTCTTCATGGCCAAACCAGTGGGATTTTGGAAACTTGTGCTTTTTTCAAGGAAGCCAAGTAAGCTGGGGTGAACTTTGCTGTGACTTAGCAATGGACCTGCTCAGATGCTCACCTTTGGCAGATTCCAAATCAGAATTGATGTTTGAAATATAAACGTCTGTTGATCTGAGTGGGTTTTTTGATTGTCTTTTTCCTGCCAGTGGACTGGAAGAGAAGAAAATGATCCTTGGAAATGAAAGAGACAATCAGAAGGCCAGACATGACTCTTCATAGCCTGTGTTTGGTCTTATTTGTGGCAATTTTTATTTTTTAATGTTGAGGTGAGAAAGTAAACCTGGGGTTTAAGGCTCAGTGCTCTCTTATTTTTGAATATAATTATAACTCATTTAGAGAAAAAAAGAGCCTTTAAAGTGTATTAATTGTGACTTAGTCTCTCTTTGATATACATGCATTCAGGTCTTGAAAACGTTCCTCCAAAGTTTAATCTTTAATCAAATGACAAATCTAGTTAGATTCATGAGATTTATTTATATTCTTGAAATTAACCACATAGTTGTTTGCAAGCCCATGGCCTTTGGTGTTTGTGGTGGGCTGTACTGTTGTGGTTGGCTTGTGTTTATTGTGCTGTAAGCTTGGAGTATTCTCTGCGTGCCTGTCTTACTGTTGTCACTCTCTCTCCTGTTCAAAATATAGAATGTTAGAGGAACAAGTTAATTTAAGAAGAAAGTAATTCTTATCTAAACCAAGAAACTTTCAAACACAACTTTTTTGGAATTCCATTGCTCTGCTTTGGAGTTAAGGGTCCTGTGTGAATCACAAGTCTGTGTTGTGAACATGTACATTTAGTTGTCCCAGGGTAAATAACAGACATTAATGCAGGAAATCTGTGTGGTAACTGTTTATAATAGTGTGTCTGATTTCTAAATACCCTTGAAGGTTTTTTTCTGTCTGCTGAGCAGAACAAGATAGAAGCATGGAATGTCATCTCTGAAATACAAAATGCTCACTGATGTTATTTTGAAGTGAGGATTCTTATTCATGTAGACTGTATTTGCACAAATTTGTGTGCCACAATGAAATATGTTACAACTGTTCTTATCTCTTTTTTTTTTTTTCTCCCCCCCAAAGTTGCCATTAAGATAAATGAACATTTTTCATGAAAACATGAGAATTTAATACATCAGGTAACATGCACATGGTAAAAGCTGTTTGTGCATACTTACCTAAAAATTGTGCCTAAAGTACTTATCTACGTTTCTTAATTCCCAGATACAAGATTCTGCTACCTTAGACATAGAAAGAGCAAACAAAGAAATTGAAATGCTTCGGAAACAATATGAGGCAATGTCACAAGAACTGAAGGAAGCTGTCCAGGAAGCAGAAGTAGCCAAATGTAGGAGAGATTGGGCCTTTCAAGAGCGGGATAAGATCGTTGCAGAAAGGGAAAGTATACGGTAAACAAATGCTAGATGTTATATGTGATCATCATATCACACTTTGTGTGCAGTTGATGCAATTCTAGGACTTGCTGGGTTTTGCTAGCACTTTCTTCCAACTTCTTGAAACTTCTGCGTTAGCTGTCACAGGGTGATTTTTTTTTTTTTTTAAAGTTGAGGACACCTTAGAAGATACTTTGCTTTGTCTGTGCTTTCATACCCATACTATGTCTCTAGTTAATACTATAGAGTCTAACAACACTGCTATGTAAGAACAGCAAAGTATGCATTCTTTTAGGCATGATATACCTAATCATGCTATAGCTGTAGTCCTGCAAATAATTCTTTACCTGTGGGAACATTTCATAAAAAGTACCCAACATATTTGCTACTAAACATATGTAAGGAACTAAGGGAAAAATACCTCAATCAGAATTTTTTTCTGTTAATTTAAAGAAGATAAGTAGAAATAAAATTTTCAAAGGGATGAAGAAAGTTGTCTTGACGAGCTTTTCCTTAAGACCTAGCATATGTAATTTTTTTCTTCCTTATACTTTTTTGTTTTTTCCCCCAGAGAGAAATATCTTTTGAAACTGCTTTTTAAAATTTTGCGTTAGCTATACTTTGTGGTAAAACTAGTTCACTACTTAGATAGGATTTTAAGTAACTAAATGGAAACTTCTTTGCTTTTGAAGGACTTTGTGTGACAACTTAAGGAGGGAGAGAGACCGGGCTGTGAGTGACTTGGCTGAAGCTCTTCGCAATCTGGATGACATGAGAAAGCAGAAAAACGATGCTGTGCGTGAACTGAAGGAACTGAAGTATGTTAGAGAAATGATCAAACTGCATGGAAGTTTGTGATAAAAACTTTGGTTTGTTAGCTGTGTTCGCAAGTGAATCATAATGCATATAGCTGTGGGGCAGCAGCTATTCATGATATTGTATGTGGAAACACTGCCTATATTTATAGTTATTGTGGAAATTACTGTGATGGGCCGGATCCTAACTCTTATTATCTTAACCTTTTTATCTTATTAATGACACAGATATTCTAAGCTTTGTGCTTTGGAGATACACTTAAGCAATGTGGGATTCTTTCACTGAAGTTGGATTAACTGCAATTTAGTTCCTCCCAATCGTATTCTCACTGGTTTGTGAATGCAAGGAAGATGTGCATCATAAGTCATCTCAATGGGTTGTGTAAGAGGTTTTGCTCTCGGTATTTAACACACCCCACTTGTCATGAGCATACTGATGCAGCTCATCTGAGGGTAAATTAAAAACCTAGTTGTGCACTTCAAATGTGTAAAAAAATAATGCAAAAAATGTAAGGCTATGTTAGGATTATATAGAAAAGGAAAGTCAATTTGACAGCAGCCCAAGAATATTGGAAAGATGTAAGTATGGCACAAATTTTGGCACAGCTTGGATTTTTGGTTTAGAAAACAAAATATAAGGTATCTTATGATGATAACATTATGTATCAGTTTATTTAAAAGGGTTGTCTATGTCTATAAATAACTTTCTTCTTTGCCTAGGGAAAAGATGGAGAATCAGTTGGAAAAGGAGGCCAGATTCCGTCAGTTGATGGCCCATAGTTCCCATGACTCAGCCATAGACACAGATTCTCTGGAATGGGAAACAGAAGTGGTAGAATTTGAAAAAGACAGAGTAAGTTAAAATCACCAACTGCATTGTCTTATATATTGGATAGCTTTGAAGTCAATTACAACATCTTGATACTAGGTATGATTAAAAGTAATGCTGATCTGTTTGGTGGTTTTTTTTTTTGGTTTTTTTTTTTTTAGTTCTTTATTATTATTGTGCTAGGAACCACACACACATGTGCAGCCAGTGCGGTAACATCTAGATGAAATTAGTTGACAAAACCAAGCAGTTATACACGAGCTTTGTACTTTTCTTCGTATGAATTATAAATAAAAATAGTTCCTCCGTCTGATCTTGCAGGGTACCCAGGTCCATGTACTATAAAAAATGTTTTAAGTTAAATATTTAGTGTTCTTAAAGTTAGTGATTCATTGCAGAAATGGCAGTGCTACGGCAGCCAAAACTTAAGACGTGATGGAAACACTGACATCAGAGAGCCCAGTCCTCTACTCTTACAGGCAACATCACTTATAATCTATGCATAAAATAGTTAAGCTTTTACATGAAATTATTCCTCCTCCTTTTTGCTCAGATTTGATGATCAGAAATTTTAAAGTATTAAAAATATTTATTCATAATGAATATATATTTTAGGGCAACATTGCCCTTCAGCTTAAAAATCTGGGATGAAAGGAAATGCTAATCTCCCTTGCTTGTCTGTAGAGGGAGTTAAATCCCTTTTCCATTTTGGTATATTAAATAAAGTTCTTATGTTTAGCTTTCCGGATAACCCCTACATCCTTTCATTATCCTAGTAGTACTTTTCTCCATTTAATTTTATTTTTCTTCCTTGTAGTCTAGAATTTTTATTTTGCTGCTTTGTATGCAAGTCCTGAATGCTGTTCTATTGGAAATTTCTGCCTGGCACATCACATTGTTTGCTAATAGCAATTTTTTTGACCACATAGAACACACAGGTGGCCTTCCAGATTGTGTTTCATTTATAACAGCTTCTGCATATACCAGAATTTATTTCTCATTCCTGAATGACAAAGTTTGTGATTTAATGCTGTCAAATTAAATCCCTTTTATTTTACTGCAGTATTTGGGGTCATCTTTTTTTATGCTCTTCCAATCTGTCTGTGTTCTGACAGTGCATCCCAACAGAATCACTAAGACATTCCTTTTTTGATACTAAACATATTGTTTAGTATCATTATATGTTGAAATATATAGATTGAAAAGGCTATATGAACTGTGTACCAATGCTTATCCATCAGGACCACCGTCTGTAAATTCTTTTGGGATAACAATTCCCCTTTCACCATGCTTTTTCATCTCTTTTGACCAGCTCCTTCATTATCAGATTTTGTGCCTTGCTATCTTCTCCATTTTAGCTGCTAACTAATAATTTTGCTTTTTCATTGTCTGGAAAATTAGTTAGCAAGTCTAGCATATGCTGTACCTGTGATAAACAACACTGCAGCCTGATGAATTTTTCAGTCATGTGCAGTTATTTAGTTATTCTTTACTTCAAAGATGGTTCTAAATGTTTGCATTACTGAGATCAATTGCGCAGACTTTGTCATTTGAATATACCTTCCCCTTTCCTAAACACAGGGATTACACTTGCTGCTGTCAAATAATAGTAATAATATCGTGCCAACCTTGATTAGATATATGGGACAATCCTTGCTGACCTAGTAGCATTTGAATTCCAGCATGGAGATTATAGAGTTGAATAAATTAAAATCCTTTTATTTTTGGTTCAGCTCACCTGTCTGCTTAGGCTCGTGTTCTACATAAGCATTCAGCTCAAAACTGGGAGAACTAATATTCACTTTTCAGCTCTGAGGCTGTACAATGATACTGTGATCTCTACTGAATCCTTATTTTATGTCTGCCCTATGCGCTTCCCTATGAACTTTTTTGTTACATACAACATTTGAAAGAATCATAAGGATTTTAGTCTATTTTTGGCAGGTTTAGCTCAGTTTCTGGTAAGCATTCATATTTTTGCATGTTTTATCTTTTGCTTCCCTGAAGACTTTTTGCTCTTCTGATTTTAAGGGGATTAGTCATTGAACCATGTCTAGAACCATGCCTTATGCATCTGATTTAAGCTCTAATTAATTTTTGCGTGTTAGACTTTAAATTTCAACTATCCTCTCCCTTCAGTATGCTGAGATCGTTGGTCCAGTTGATTTCAAGTGAAGTTCTCTAATTTTTATAAATGTACTATTTAACATTGAAAATAGCAATAATAAATCAGTTTGATCAGTTGGGCCCAGTTTATTTTCTTTAAACAGTGCTTTTGCTGTGACCTTGCCATTTACCAAAGCAAACGCTAAATTAAAATTTCCCTGTTTGGTTCAGTGACTGATTTGTTAAAGATGTTTATCACTTTTCACATCGAGGATGATCTGTTTTGGGCCAAGGTTGGTAGAATATTGCTTCTAATCCCTATTTAGAAATGGTCCCCCATAATGTTAGAGCTTTCATTTCGGTTTCCTTCTCGTCTTCAGCCATATTAAAGCGGACGTCTTTCTGAGTTCATCACTAAGACACAATGCTGTTTTCTTAGCTTTACAATTGTTTTTTCCCCAAGTAATGCCCATTCTTGGGAACCTGTCCTTGTTCTCTCATTACATAGCCAGCATTGTACCTTAAAACAGGTTATATGTGTTTGAATATGCTTTTTTGCATGCTCTTCTGCTTTCCTGTTCCTCTTTGGTGAAATTCCCCTTCTGCATTGTTTCAGCCTTAATCTGAGAGAGAGAAGGATTGCTAATGCCAGAGGATGCCTAATAACTAATGGAGTTGGGAGCTTATATATTGTAGTACAAAATATAAAAACTTGCCTAGAACAGGTACCCTGTAAATATAAGTGCATAGTACAAACATGCAGTAATGCTTCTTGCTAACAGACAGTGGAGTCACTTGTTAATAATATTTATTAGGATGATATGGACTTGAAAGCACTTGGTTTTGATGTGGCAGAAGGTGTGAATGAACCATACCTCCCTGGAGACTGTGGGATCTTTGTTACCAAAGTAGACAAAGGAAGTATCGCTGATGGTCGATTAAGGTAGGGTTTGACTTTGGAAGGTACTTGTCTTTTGTTGATCATAATAAACTAAATACCAGGATATTGTAAATTGTCTTCAGTTTTTCCCATTTTTTTTAAGTTCTTTTTTTATCATTGGTCATGTATGTTATTACTGTTGGTTGGGAAATCGCACTGAGAAAGCTAACGCCTAAAAGCATTACAGAGATTAAATACTATTTGACTCATCCCTTAAAAATCACCGGGATTTGAAATGTTCTTTTGTTTCTCTGTGTCTCACCTATTCTGTTTATTTTCTCCTTAAACTTTGATCTATTTATTTAAATTTTGGGAAAGATATGAGGGTGAGCTCTTGGGGGAGGGCAGGGGGAAAGGAGAGTAGAGCAAGGGATAATTTGAAACCTGCTTCTGTTCCTAGTGGCAATAGGAGGTTTTTAACCACTCTCCTCTGTCCAAAGAGTTGCTTTTAAATAAGGAGTAGTCATTACGGATTTGAGGATATACTTTTGCTAGTGAAGTGCAGACTAGAAGTCCTGGTTTTCATTTAGCTGCTATTTAATGCTTTTTCAGGAATGGAGAACTCCGAGGATTAACATATTGAGATCAGCTCTGTTGCATCCCTTTTCATGAATGTTATTGATATGCTGCATCCAGCAAAGTATGCTTGTAACACTGACCTGCTTGCTTCTGTTTATCTGCCAGAGTGAATGATTGGTTACTGAAGATAAACGATGTAGACCTTACTAATAAGGATAAAAAGCAAGTTATAAAAGCTGTCCTAAATGGAGGAGGTGTTATTAACATGGTGGTTCGAAGAAGGAAGTCCTTAGGTGGGCGAGTGATAACACCTCTTCACATCAATGTTTCTGGACATAAAGGTAATGGCTATAAAGGCTGTACATAAATGGTACGTGTTTGTTCAGCCAAAAATGGCTTGACATAAAGGTACATGTTTTGAGCCTCTGCTTAAATCCCACTTAAACTGTTACTACCTTCTAGCTAGGGATTTTCATTAATTGTTTTTAGCAGACTAAGAATCCTCATATTGATGATAGCTTTATTCTGTAAGTACAGGTTTTCTTTTTTGTTCTTGGGTGGGTTTTGCTTTTGGGTTTTTTTTTAATACTTATTTCTAGTTAGCTGCCTGTCTGGAGTGTTACTGGGAGTCTAAGCAAGACTGTTAAACTTGTCAGTCACCTCGCCTTTATATGATTATATTAAATTTTGGGATATATCCCTATTTTCCTCCCACTGTGTTCGTATTTCTTTAAAAAGGTTTTCAGAAATTGAAATTCAGTTGGTTTGGTAGTTACATTTCTTTCTTGTGCAGGCAGGTCAGACATGCTGTTTTAGCAAGGTATTTGAATTGCAGGAGTAAATTAATGTTTATTTTGTGTATTTCAGATAGTGGTGTCAGTCTAGAAAATGGAGTATTTGTTGCTGCTGTTGTGCCTGGAAGCCCAGCTGCCAAAGAGGGTTCCCTTACTGTAGGAGATAGAATAATTGCTGTAAGTCTTAAGAATGCATTCTCCTTTTTTTAATTTTTATTTCTTTTAAAGTGTTACCATTGATGCCACCCTTTAAGATCTCAAACTTTCCAAATTTTTACTTTCACTGTATTATACCCTTTTTGTATATTTACTAAATATTTATTACAAATTAATGTGTTTGTAGGCTGAGTGATTCATACAATGTGCAGGTTATTTGCTGTGCTTAGTTCATATGAGAATTTTAGACAGAGACACTGCCTTACTCTTTACACTGGGCTTATATATAATGATACTTGTGATTTTTATACTGAATAGGAAAGGTCAGTTTCAAAAAGACATCCCTTGGCTGGATGAAAGTTTTCATGTCTTTTAAATTATGGTATCACAGATGTCATCCTTTTGGAGGGGAAGTTTTTCCCTGTGTGCATTTGCAGCCTTAAACAACCTGCCTGATTTATGTATTCCTGTGAAATGAAAGATGATTACTGTTGATGTACAAATGCATAGAGGCTAATGTAGTGAAACAAGTGTTGTTGCACTGTAGTAAGGAAAGCAAAATTGTAGTTGAGAGGTTTGTTTTTCTAGTGGAGAATGGAAAAAGACAGGACAAGGTCAACCAGACTTCAGTCATGTATACCTGCAAAACTAGTGTTTTCCCTGTCTCAGAGATGCTACCTTAAGATGCTTCCCACCTGCTACCTTTGATTTACAGATGGCTGTTGTGGTTTTTTTGTGTTTAGATCAATGGCATTGCACTAGATAACAAGTCGCTTACTGAATGTGAAGCTTTGCTACGAAACTGTAGGGACTCCCTTACCCTGTCACTGATGAAGGTGAGTAGGAGAAGCAAAATTTGCAGAATTTTCTTGAACTTATATGGAATTATTTTAGCTGTTCAGGGAAGAGTATATGAAAAGATTAATGTATTGTCATGGGAAAGTCTCTGCTAAAAATAAGACCATCTGGATGCATTTCTCTGGTGGTACACTCAACAGTTATTTCCAAAGTAAGGCTATTGTGGCATTTGGTAGGAAGTGAAACTTATTTATTGTTCTTACTTCTTTCCTATGTGTTTGCTGGTCACATGAAATGACTTCCAGCACAGTTGCTTTTCTTCTTGGTTTCTGCTTCAAAGCTGCAGCAGTTTTGTACATGAAAGATAAACTGCCTCCTGACTACAGAAAGGTTTGCTTTTAGTCAGGAGGGAGTTGTGCAGAAAACTGAACTCTGGTTATCATGAGGATTAAGTACTAGGCTTTCTTTTTCAGGCTTATTACTATAAAAATATTATTCTGTTTTCCTTATTGAGGTTAGAATCCCATTATGCTGGGCCTGTCACACAGGCTTTGTGAGTGATAATTCCAGTTCCAGGGAGCCTGAGGTCTTAAGAAAGTAAAAAGATGAAATGTTTGAGGGGAAAGCGAGCAATGAAAGATGACTTATTGGCATCACTTACCAGAGGTAGAAGTAGAATGCAGGTCCCTTCACTGTCAGTACAGTGCTTCTGCCACAGTGTGGAGTTGCCCTTCTGGAATTGTGCTGAAAATGTTTCAGAAAATTTTCTAGTTTCATTTTATCTGATGTTCTGTGCTTTGCATCTGCAAGATTTTATTAAACTTTTCCCAACCATATCTATACATGTGTTGGTGTGTATTCAGGTATAGGTAAATCAAGGAGGCTAGAATATGCCTCATACTAAACAGAAATCAGCCATAATAATAAAGTGATCACTTGTTTGGGTTGTTTTTTTGTTTGTTTTAGGTTTTTCCTCAGAGCTCATCTTGGAGTGGTCAAAACATATTTGAAAATCTGAAGGATTCGGAAAAAATATCAAACTGTAGGATTCACGCATCAGAGATACAAGCCCAAAATAAAAGAAATCTGAAACTCAACAGCTCAACACAGACTGACATTTTCAATCCAGACATCATGGATGGCAAGAAGGACCAAAGTGATCAGGGCAGCGGTTCATTTTGTGATCACAAACCTTTCCCTAATAACACGTTACGAGTAGACTCTCATAGGAACGCAGTGCACAGTTGCCACAGTAATTCAGAACACAGTCTCAGTTCATTCAGCCCAGAGGCATACAGCGACCGAGGCTTTGGAGCTGTTGACTTGGACAACAGGAGACTGCCTTATGAACCTACAGGAGCTGACTGTATGATGGTTGAGACTGTATTTGACAAAGCACATGGAAATAAGCATAGTGGTGGTACCTGGCCAAAAGTCATGGTTAATATCTCAGCAACAGAAACAGAAAAGTTCTCTGTCTATAAAAAGCCAAAACAAAGGAAATCTATCTTTGATCCTGATACTTTCAAAAGACCACCAACTCCTCCCAAGCTGGAATACCTTTCCCCTAATCCGGTGACGGGCCATTCACCTCAGCCATCAAAAGCTGAAGTGGCTTCAACTCCTCCAACTCCTCCTAAGAGAAGTGACTCTATCAAGTTTAAACATAAACAGCAGACAAGCTCTGCATCAGAGTCTACAGTAACAACTGGATCACCACCCACCAGCCCAGCTACTGTCCAAGCTCCAGTTTCCTTGGCACTTAAACAGGACTCTGCTACTCTCAAGGGGCTTTTTATTATCGAGAGGAGGGTATTGACTGCACTCATCTCTCTTCAAGGAAATCCTGTGAAGATGACATTGGCTTTCAAAGAGTTGAAGAGCCAGAAGTTAAAAGACCAAGGCCAAAATCAGCTCCTGCGCTGAGGCATAAAATGACCCATATGCCCATTCCTAATTCTGCACTTCAGGTAGAAACTTGGTATATTGAAGCACAAAACTAGAAACCTTGAAGTGTATTTTCAGTGTCGTTTTGGGTGCCCGGTTACATACTATAACAGGAGAAGCATAGCCTGTTCTCTGAGAAGCTACCCCAGGCTCAGTTGTCACTTTGCAGTATCACAAAACACAAGACCAATTCATGGAGTTGCAGTGTTTAACAGGCAGTGGTGGCCACCAAACAGAATGATAAGGTTTGGCTTAGTAGCCATAATTGGGTTTTAATGCTGCTTGATGGAAGATCAGGGCTCTTTCCTGTATGTTTTTAACAATCTGAAATAGAATTAAAAATAAATAAAAATGCGAAGAGGCAGCTCTAGAAAAGCTAAAAATAGTGCCTCCTAAGTTTTACAAAAATCAGATTGGTTGCCCAGCTCACTGGACAAATTAATGGAAAAAGGTATACTATTCACAGGGTTGTTTTTTGTAAGTGTTTCTCTGTGTCTAAATAATTTTGTAAATCTAATCTGAAATTCATAGGGCGTTAAGCGCATTACACTGTAAAGATGGACTGTTTATGAGAGTGTGGTTTAATAATACAGTTCAGTGTCAGCAGTCCTGGTTAACAGGGGAGGTCCCTGATGACTGGAGGCTTGCCAATGTGACGCCCATCTACAAGAAGGGCCGGAAGGAGGACCCGGGGAACTACAGGCCTGTCAGCCTGACCTTGGTGCTGGGAAAGATTATGGAGCATTTCATATTGAGTGAGCTCAACAGGCAAGTGCAGGTCAGCCAGGGGATCAGGCCCAGCCAGCATAGGCTCATGAAAGGCAGGTCCTGCCTGACCAACCTGATCTCCTTCTATGACCTGGTGACCCACCTGCTGGATGAAGGAAAGGCTGTGGATGTCATTTACCTGGACTTCAGCAAAGCCTTTGACACCGTCTCCCATGGCATTCTCCTTGGGAAGCTGGCAGCTCATGGCTTGGATGGGCGTAGTCTTCGCTGGGTAAAGAACTGGTTGGGTGGCCAAGCCCAGAGAGTAGTGATGAACGGAGTTAAGTCCAGTTGGCAGCCGGTCACGAGTGGTGTTCCCCAGGGCTCTGTTTCAGGGCCAGTCTTGTTTGTTATCTTGATCAACGATCTGGATGAGGGGATTGAGTGCGCCC